CTTTTTACCAGAGTAACCATACACTTGGGGAAGGAAATAATCAGACCTTTCAAAACTGGACATGGAGGTACACACTTGTAATACCAGCACTCTGGAAGGCTGAAGCAGGAGTATCACAAGTTTGAGCCCAGCTTGAGTAACTTAGTAACTTAGTGAGAATTTTTAAATTTTTAAATGTTTTAAAAAAATTTTTTTTAAATTTTTAAATTTAAAAAAAATATAACAACCATATATATATATATATATATATATATATATGGGTGTGGGATGTAGTTCAGTATGCAGGCCCTGTATTCAATCTCTAGTATTAAAAAAAGCAAAGATAATTCAAGGACTACTGGACACTGGTTCTGAACCAACACCAATTCCAGGAGCTCTGAAACATTATTGTGGCCCTTCAATAAGACTAGGGACCTATGAAGGTCAGGTAATCAATAAAGTTCTAGCCAAGATATGGCTCACAGTGTATCCAGTGTGTTCCTGAAGCCATCTGGTCATTTCAGAGTGCATATTTTTCCCATTCCAGAATGCCTAATTGGGGTAGACCTACTTAGTATTTGGCAGAATATCCACATTTATTCCTAACCTGTGGTGTAAGATCCATTATCATAGAAAAGCTGAAATGGAAACCATTAGAGCTGCCTCTGCCAGGGAAAGTCATAAATCAAAAACACTATCATGAACTGGGTGTAGTAGTATATACCTACTATCCCAAAATTCTGAGAAGCTGAAGGAGAAAGATCACAAATTCAAGCCCAGCCTAGGAAATTTAGCTACTTAATGAGACTCTCATTAAGTAAAATAAAAAGGGCTGGGGATATATCTCAATCTGAGGACCCTAGATTGAATCCCCCATACCACACAACAACAACAACAACAGCAACATCATTGCATACCTGAAGGATCACAGAGATTAGCACCACGATCAAGGGCTTGAGTGATGCATGGTTGGTGGTTCTCACCATTCAACTCTCCTATTTGGCATATTTGGCCTGTGCAGAAGTCAGCTGGATCTCAGAGAATGATGACAGATTACCATAAACTTAATCAAATGATGACTGTAATTGCAGCTGCTGCACCACGTGTGGTTTCCTTGCTTGAGTAGATTAACACACCTCCTGGTACCTCGTATGCAGCTATTGATTTGGCACATGCTTTCCCCACCACCACCACCTATCTGTAATCTCCATCAGAAGCAACTTCCTTTCAGTTGGCAAGGTCAGCAATACACCTTCACTGTACTATCTCAGGGGTATAACTCTCCAGTCCCATGTTACACCTTAGTTTGCAGAAATCTTGATTGTCTTTCTCTTCCATAAGGTATCACACTGGTTCATTACATTGCTGACATTATGATGATTGGGCCAAGTAAACAAAGGATAGCAGCCACTTTGGATGTGATGGTAAAGCACTCAAGTGTCAGAGAATGGAAAATAAACGCAGCTAAAATTCAAGGGCTCTGTACCCTAGGAATCCAGTGGTGTAGGCATGAATGGGTATCCCTTCTAATGTGAAGGATAAGTTGCTGCATCTGTCTCCCCCTACAAAGAAGAAAGAGGCACAATGCCTAGTAGGCTTATTTGGATTTTGGAGGCAACACATTTCTCACTTCGGTGTGTTACTCTCACCCATTTACTAAGTGACTCGGAAAGCTGCTAGTTTTGAGGGTGGCTCAAAACAAGGGAAGACTATACTGCTCTGCCACTTGCGCCATATGACTCAGCAGATCCGATGGTACTTGAGGTGTCAGTGGCAGACAGAGGTGCTGCTTGGACCCTCTGAAAGGCCTCCATAGGCGAACCATAGTGGGAGCCATTAGGATTTTGGGCAAAGATCTGTCATCATCTGTAAACAACTAGTCCTCCTTTGAGAAACAGCTCCTGGCTTGCTACTGGGCCTTAGTGAAAACTGAATGCTTGACCGTGGGACACCAAGATACCATGGGACCTGAGCTGCCCAGCCTGAACTGTTCTTATCTGACCCACTGAGTCATAAAGTCAGACATGCCCAGCAACAATACATGGAACTGGTATATATGTGATCTGGCCAGAGCAGATCCTGAAGACACACATAAGTTATATGGGGCAGTGGCCCAAATGTCCATGGCTCCTATTCCTGATATGTTGCTTTCTTTCCCCTGGCATGTACCTATTGCCTCATAGGGTGTACCCTATGATCAATTGACAGAGGAAGATAAAACTGGGGCCTGGTTTACAGATGGTTCTGCATGTTATGCAGGTACCACTCAAAAGTGGACAGCTGTAACAGTATAGCTCTTTTCTTGGAAGTCACTGAAGGATAGTGGTAAAGGTAAATCTTCATAGTGGGCAGAACTTCAGGCAATGCACCTGGTCCTTGCTGGGAAGAAAATATAGCCAGATGTGTGACTATGTGCAACCAAGGGTCTAGCTGGATAGTCAAGGACTTGGAAGAAATATACTAAAAATTTGGTGGCCAAGATGTTTGGAGAAGTATATATTCTCCATATAGGAGAATGATGTGAAGATATTTGTGTCTCACACAATCACCAAAAGTGATCTCAACAGAAGAGGACATTAATAATTAAGTGGATAGGATGACCCATTCCTTGGATAGCTGTCAATCTCTTTCCTCAACCACTCTTATTATTCCCCAATGGGATCATGTACAAAGTGGCCATGGTAACAAGGATGGAAGTTATGCATGTGCTCAGCAACATGGACTTCCACTCACTAAGGCTGGCCCAGCTATAGTCACTGCTGAGTGCTCAATTTGCCAGCAACATAGACCAAGACTGAGTTCCCAGTATGGAACCACTCACTGGGGTGATCAGCCTGTGACCTGGTGGCAGGTTGATTATATTGGATCATTTCCATCATAGAAAGGGGAATGCTTTGTTTTTACTGGAACAGACATTTACTGGGTATGAATTTGCCTACCTTGCACATAATGCTTCTGCCAGAACTACCATCTTGGGACTTACTGAATGCCTCAACAACCATTACAGTATTTCACACACCATTGCCTCTGACTTAGGAACATACTTCACAGCCAAAGAAGCGTGGCAATGGGCTCATGTGCATGGAATCCACTGCTCTTACCATATTTCCTATCACACAGAAGCAGCTAGATTGATAGAACAGTGGAACAGCCTTTTGAAGATGCAGTTACATTGCCAGGAAGGTGGAAATACCTTGCAGGACTGAGATGAGGTTCTCCAGAAGGCTATATATGCTCCGAATCATCATCCACTATATGGTACTATTTCTCCCATAAGCCATGATTCATGAGTCCATTACCCCTAGTGACCCACTAGCAAAAGTTTCCTATTCCCATTGCTTTATGTTCAGCTGGCCTAGAAGTCTTAGTTCTGGGTGGGTGGAGGGGCTTCTACCAAGAGGTACAACAATAATGCCATTCAACTGGGAGCCTAGACTTCCTTCTGACCATTTTGGGCTCCTCTTGCCCCTGAGTCAACAGGCTAAAAAGTAGTTATGGTGTTGGCAGAGATGATTGATGTAAACTACCAAGGAGAAGTTGGACACTACTATTCCATAATGCAGGTAAGGAAGAGTATGTTTGGAGTAAAAGAGATTGCTTAGGGGATCTTCTAGTAATACTATATCCTGTTACTGGGGTCAGCAAGAAACTACAACAACCCAATACAGGAAGCATGACAAGTAGCCCAGACCCTTCAAGAATGGAGGTACAGGTCACCTTGTTAGTTAAGAATCAAGACCCTCTGAGATGCTGCTGATGGCCATGGGAATACAGAATGGGTGGTAGAAGAAGGTATAAATATCAGCTGTGACCTATGTGACCAGTTACAGAAATGAGGACTGCAATTCTCATGAGCACTTCTTTTCTGTTTTGAATATGTACAGTATAGTAGTGGATGTCTTTGTTTTCTTTCTTTGACTTCCTAGGTCCTGTAATGTAACATTGACTAATATAAGTACTTACGCGTCATTAAATCTGCTTTATAAGTTCTGTATGTCAGGAGAAGAGTAAGTATCACCTAAAGAAAGACTTTGCCTCCTATCCTAGGGAAGGAATTAATGCATTTGTGGTTGTATCCAGGATAGTTGTATCATGTTAGGCAGAGTTATGAACTTGCTGTTGGTCTTTATTTGAAGATTAAATATGGTTTAAAGGAACGTGCCTGGTGGTCAAGTTGACAAAGGTGAGTTGTGACTGTTAATTGTGATATATCAATTTGACTGCAGTAAAAATACCGACCAGATTAATAAAGCACCCTTCTGGCTGTGTCCATAGGATATTCCCAAAGGTTACAGGCACATGCAGGCCAGCAAACTAAGCGGGGAAGATCCACTCTGGATGTGGGTGGCACAAACTGATAGGTTTGTCGCCTGGATGGAATCAAAGCAAAAGATGGAGGAACTAAATGGACTTGAGACTGCTCCATTCTGCTTGAATGGGTACATTATTTGCTGCTATCATTGCCTGTTTCCACTAGGCTCCAGCTTCTCAAGGCTTTCAACATAGACTCATACCAGCAACTCTCCAAGAAGCTTCCAGGTCTTCCACTTTGGACTGGCAGTGCATCCTTCATCCTTCTTCTTCCATGGTTTCCAGTTTCTTAAACTGAACAGCCACTGGGACCTCAGCCTCTCCAGCATGTAGATGGGAATTTTGGACTCTCCCACCTCTACACCTAATAAATCTCGGTGTGTGTCTATGTGTGTGTATGTGTGTATGTGTGCGTGATTGATTCTGTTCATCTAGAGAACACTAACCAATACACCAGGTCAGATCGCAAGCAGAAGAGCCAGATGGGCTAGAATTCAGACAAATGGACATGGGGTGATGTGTCCATGAACAGGGCCAGCTAGGAGGCCATGAACAGCAAAGGGAGTGGGTGTTCCACTTTGTCAGAGCTGGGGGTTACAGGAAAGCCTGCGCCCAGGGTTGCTATTTTAACAACTTCTAATGCTTTTCTTCTTGTAGCACACATTCCACAAGGAGACTTTAGGGGATTACAGATAAGACCCAAGACCCTGTTCTGGTTTTGTTTTGTTTTGTTTTGTTTTGTTTTTTAACCACTTGCAAGCCTCTAGACCTCCTGCGAGCCCCAGTTCCATTGTCATCTGTCAGAACACATCTCTGGAGAATTCTGGTTCCAGTGGCATCCTGTGAGCTTGTTAGTGTCTGTGTCTTCAGCAGCTGCCATCTACAGCTTCCAGCTGAGCTGATGACTTTTCCCTGCTTGACATCTGAGGGGGAAAGATGACCTGTGAGCAGTGAAGGCCAACTGCAGGTGTTCTTAACTGACTCAGGGATTGCTGCCATGGGAGCCATGGAGACAGGGACTGGATGGATCCAAGTCACAAAGAGCGCAGCACCTTTGGAGGAGTCTTCACACCCTCACCCCTCATTCAACACCTAAGGCCCTGGCCCTGCCCTGCCCACCACCAGAGCCGGGTGAATATCTCTGGAGGAGTCCAGAGGTGGAGGCCCACAGTGGGAGCCACAGGGCTTCGGGAAGCTTGCTGTCTGGAGTGGACACCAGCACTACAGACTCCAGGGCAAAGTGAACTGCGGGACTGGAGACAAACACAAATCACACACCCAGACTTTGTTATGATTTGCTCTTTGACCCTTACCAAACTACTTGTGTGGGGCACCTTCGGGAGCAAGATAAGAGGAAGGGGGTGCTAATTAGAAAAATGCCCCTCTCAACACATGCACACACTTGAACTACACAGGGTCCTTCTTAAGCCGCCACACCAAGCAGGCCCCCCGCAGAGCCACCCCTGGAGCCCCCAGGAAGGAGGGCATGGCAGGCAGCTGTGGGGAGGTTTCACTTCTGGGGATCCTTACAGTTATCCCAGCTCCTGGGTCTGATCCTCCTCCAAATGCAGGCGCAACCAGTCTTTTTGTGCCTTAGCGTTTGTGCCCAGAGTTCCGGAGCGGATACACTTAGGACAGGCCCGACCCGGCTGCTCCAGAAGGGGGAAGGCGAGAGGACCCAGCGTCTGGGAACGCCAGGCCAGACCCAGTTGCCAGGCACGCGTTGCCCGGTGACCCGCAGGCCATTTACGTCTGGCGCGAGTCTGAGCCGGACTCGCTGAGAGCGCGCTGTCCCCACCATGGCCTCCCGCAGCGCGGGCACCCTACTGACCGAGTTCAATGCCGCCTACGTGCCCCCTAGCCTCATGCCCGGGTAAGCGCGCGCCCGGGCCCCACCTGAACCTGAAGACGGCGCCACTCCTCTTCCTCCCGCTGCGCCCTTCCTTGGGGAAGCTCCCCACCCCCACTCCGCCTGGGTGTGAAGGAACCGCCGCGTCCCAGGCCCGTTGGCCTTCCTAGGGTTTTCCCGGTCTCCGCAGGCCGGGTGTAGGACAGAGCTGGGCGCTCATGGATTCCCCTTGGTAGGAAGAAGGTTGCTGAGAGAGGGAAGACCCGGATGACGGGACCTCCCTAGGATGTGGACCGAGAAGGAGGAGATGATAGACACAAGTGAGCTTTAGGGTTTGGAGGAGCCCCAGACAGCAAGCAGCCTGGATGCGGGGGTTGCGGGGTGAGGGGTGGAATGTGAGGCGCCTGCTGGGAACTGGATGTGTGGGACACCCAGGATTCCAGCGACAGTAGTGTCTGTGGTCCGGAGCTTGCGGGGCAGGCTGGGCAGTGGCTCAGGGTTGATAGCATGTACCATCCAGCCAACTTTCACACATGCTTCCTTCTGCAAACTGAACAGATTGCAGAATGCAAAGACCTCACAGTATGTTTTGAGTTTTGGACTGTTTTCAAACAGAGTAACCAAACATGGAGGGGCTGTCATATTGTCATTTCCCGAGGCTGGGAGCTGGGGCTTTAGTTTTCACTCAACATCTGGGGACACCACTTTTCTCTAGGTCTTGGACAGTCCAAGAGCTACTTTGGTTCCCAGCAAAGCTGATTTAACAGGCACGATAATTTGCTGAGGCCAAGCAAGGGGGGTTGGAAAAGGTGCCCTAGGAATTGCCTATTCATTCTTTCTTTCATGCATTCTTTCATTCACTTGAGAAAGATGTGTCCAGTGCTGGGGAGAGAGGATACTAGGTGTGTTGAGATGCGAGGGAGACAAACAGTCGGGGCTCCCCTCCCAGTCTTGTGTGAATGCACACATTTTAGTTCATGTCCATCTGAAGTTTTAGGCAGTGGTGTCTGCGCCACATTCTGGGTGTTTATCGTGGTTTTTTTTTTCATAAGCCCCACATAACCTCTGGTGGGAACTTCTTTTATTGCCTGACTCCTTGGCCATTTGCTGTCCATGGGGTGAGGCCTGATGCATGTGCAGATCCTGCCCCATGACTTCCCCTATGTTCTAGAAGGGGTGGGAGCAATTGGTTTCGGAAGCAGTCCCCAGGTTGCCTCTCTCTCCTTGCCGCTTGTCTGCGGTTCCCAAGAGCATAGGACCCATCCTGTGACTGATTTAGAAACAGTGATAACAAGTGGGTTACAGATACAACTTCCAGGCTGCTCTGGCCTAGGCTGAGCCCTGAGCCCCTGTCTGCTGCTTTCTAGGCTGGATCTTTCTGGGAGGCATGCACTTTCCTGAAAGATTCCCCATCGAGGAGGTTGGGTTGTTTTCTGTTTCTGAATGCTACCTCCTTGGGGATTTTGTTAACTTAATGAAAGAATCCAAGATTGCTCACCACACTTGGATAATTATTATTTTTGTGCTGCATCTTTTCAGACATTAATCACAGATTTTACAATGCAGCCAGTCTCTTCTGACACTCAAATCACTTCCTTTGCAGTTTTATTCATAAAGGCAGAGAATATTTAGTCTGGTAAGGACCTTAAAGATCATGCAGCCCAGGCCCCTCCTGCTCCAGACTTGGGCACTGAGGTCTGGAAGATCTTGCCTGAACCCCACACTGGTGATGGTAGAGGTGGACTGGAACTTGGTCCCTGGTGCCCAGTAGTAGCACCATACACTTCCATGTATGAGCAACAAGTATGTGCCAGACATTGTGCTGGCCCCTTTATGAACCTCCTTTAAAAGAAAAGATCTACATAACCACCATGCCTGGTGGTGCACACCTGTAATCCCAGCAGTCAGGAGGCTGAGAAAGCAGGATCACAAGTTTGAGGCCAGCTTGGACTACATAGCAAGGCCTTAAAAAAATAAAAAACAAAAACAAACTACATAACCACCCAGATGAGGAATAGGCAGTTTTCCTGAGGCCGTTCAGCAAGCAAGTTTCCCAGCCAAGTGTTTGTGATTTTAATACCCCTGCTCACCCTAGATATCTACCCCAACCCACATGCAGCCTCTCATTCTGCCTTCCTCCCTCAGCAGGGAGGGAATAGAGTAGGCACTGGGAGAGCCTGTGCAGCCGGCCGACTGGTTTCCAGTCCAGGTTCCATCTCTCTCTTACCCTGGGCAAGTTACGTCTCTTGATGCTTTGCTTACCTTATCCATTAAATGGGGATCCTAATGGTGTGCTCAGATAAGTTAATATACACTTAGTAACTTTGCTGTTATCATTAGTTAGACCTCCTCATGTATTCAAGCCCTTAGCTAGACTGCTCCATAGGAGGCCATGGTGCTTGACTCCAGATGGTTGGTGAGACGATGCTGGTCTGCTGGTAGTCAGCCAGGACGATCCCTTTTGCTTGCTGCTTCTGTGCACCTTGCCACATGTGCCTGGCCTTGGTGCCATCTTGCAGTGGGCAGGGAGCTTCTGGCTCAGTGTCCCAGGCATGACTGGGGATATCTGGCCTCAGTAAGAATCTGCCTCTTGCCAGTAGGTTAAGCATGGGTGGCACACTTCCTGGGCTCTCTGCCTCCCACCCTGCTCCCAGGCTCTTGGTGTATTCATTCATGCCCAGCCTGATACTGTCCCCGATGCTCGTAGCTTCCACCAAGCAGCTCTCCCGAAAAGCTAGGGCAAGAGGACTAGCACCGGGGCCCTCCTTCCATCTGCCTAGACAGGCAGCTGTGCTCTCATCTGCCACAAGCTTGCTCTTACCAGAAGGATGGTATCACAAAGGTGGCTGCACCCTGTCCCCAGAGTCCCTGAACAGCAGACACACATACTCAGTGCCGTGTTCCTGTTTAGTAACCAGCTCTCTGGAAAAGAGAGGCCTTCACCCATATCTGTGGTATAAATACCCCGCTCCTTGTGCCAATTTCAGGCTGTCCACATGGTGTCCTTAAATGAGCTGGGAAGGAGTGTGACCAGCCCAGCGCTGTAGAGGACAGTGGTCACCCTCACCAAAGTTTCACTTCCCCCAGATCTAGTTACTCTGGATCAAATGCTATCCAAAAACATTGAATGGGAAATTCCAGGAATAAACAACTTAGAAATTTCAAATAACTTTTATTACAGTATATTGTTATAATGGTTGCATTGTATCATTATGGCTGTTTATTTCTTACTTTTCCTAATTTATCACTTACATTTTATCATGGGTGTGTGGATAGAGAAAGGCGTAGTATTATAGAGCTCAGTACACTGCCAGGCTTCAGGTATCCCTGGGAGTCTGGAAAGCACCCCCTGTGGAGAAGGGCTAGTTGCATTGCACTATAGACATACTTTGAGAGAAGGAAAATAGTAAGATGTAATAAAATGGTAGAAAACCATGAGTTTCGAGGGTTTGCAACCTTTGTTTTCAGTATGTGCTGTTCAGCACAGAGTCAGCTACTTTCTGTCAGTCCTCATCCCTAGCTTCAGAAGCAGAGCTGGCCCAGATTCAAGCCCCAAATACAGAGGAAACAGAAGATAAGTTTTAAAGCCCTGCTATCCTCTACTGTGACACACTGCCCCACAGGCAGCCCCATTCTTAAACCACCACCTCCCCCAGAGCCTGCTTGTTGGCAGTCGGGTGCATAGCATCCTCTCCCTGCTCATCCACCTTCTCTTCTAAGGATCCACAGCCCCAACCCTGAGTCTCCGCCCTTCCCAGCCCCATGGAACAAGGTAGGGATACAGATAGGGGGAAAGCATATCCCTCTTGCCCCAGGGAACCTGTCATTCAGAAAGAAAAAATTCTTTTTTTTTTTTTTTTTTTTTTTGGTCTTTTTGAGACAGGGTCTCCCTATGCAGTTCAGGCTGGTCTTGAGCTCACTTTGTAGTCCAGGTTGGTCTCAAACTTGCAATGATCCTCCTGCCTCAGCCTCCCAAGTGCTGGGATTACAGGTGTGTGCCACCACACCAGGCTCAGAAAGAAAAAATTCTAAGGGGCCTGCTCATTACAAACACAACAGAATGTGAATTGGGCCATAAGAAAGGTACAACAGCCAGAAGAATGAAGAGGGGGCAGGGTCTACCTGATGGGTCAGAGCAGCCTCCATGGAAACAAGGGTCCCTGTGTGTACAGGGAGCAGTCCTTTCCCTGTCTCTTAACAGCATCATCTTGAAAGGTACCTGGAAAGATTATAAGATCACCCTCAGGGAGGAGGAGCTTCTGCACAGAGGGCAGAGCTTGGCAAATGCAGGGCCAGAGGTTCTGGAAGGGCATGAATTCAGTGATTATCCTCTTTGGCTTCAGTGGCAAAGCTGGGATATGGAAAAGAGTGACAAGGCTGGAAAGACCTCCTACAGAGGCCACATCAGGATGCCCCGAGCAGCTGGACCAGCTTGTTCTTAATTTCACAAGCAGTGAGGGCCCTGGTAGGTTCTGCCCCGGGGAAGGATCTGACCAGAACTGTCCTCAGCAGGAGGTGTTATGGAGAAGTGGAAAGGGGCCATGCTGAATAGTAACAAGTTAATTAGTTAATAAGGCTGCTCATGGGATCCCTGATGCTCATGGTAATTAATTTTAATGTTAGCTGTGGGGCCAGATGATGCCGTTAAGAGGCAGGGAAGGGACTGCTCCCTGTACACGCAGTAATCCGCTGTGGGCTCCAGAACCCCAGTGATCATTCCCGGGGGCCTGCTCAGCCCGAGTCAGAGCTTGTGCATGTACGGGTGATGGAGAAGCTCAGGAGCAGGTGCAAGGGTCCCTCTAAAGGTGTGACTGTGCTGTCCTCTGCCAGTTCCCTCTTGCTTTCCACCTTGGCTGCTCACAAAA